CCAGGCTGCCCAGGGCAGTGGTGGAGTCCCCATCCCTGGAGGGGGTCAAAAACCGTGTAGATGTGGCACTTGGGGACATGGTGGTGTTGGGTTATCGGTTGGACTTGATGATCTTAGAGGTCTTTTCCAACCTTAATGATTTTATGATTCTGTGATTCTACGAGTCGGATGTGTGTGGTGGTGCCAAGGCCCCATCCCACCCTGGGAGCAGCTCTCCTACATTGCACACCCCGGAGGAGGGATTGGCTCTGCTCCCCACCTCCGCTTTTATTTAAAAATTCAGGATTTGGCTAAACCTGCTGGTTCAGTGTCAGGACGTACGATATTTTTAAAAGCTGGCGCTTGAAAACACGAGCTGTGCCTCTAGGGTGCTGTTGCGATACAAAATGTGCTACTCCTCAGACTCGCCCTCGTCTAGGAGCTACAGTTTGGGTCGTAAACATGTTTGACATCATTCTGGTTTTCTTTTAGGGATTTTTTTCAAATCAAATAAAGATTTATTTCAGGCACTGTTAAGGGGAAAACCAGGCCTCTCTCCTGACAAGAGCCAGTAACGAAGAGAAAGCCGATCATCTCCTGCCACTCCTTACTGTTGTGCTTCCCGTTTGTTCACGATATAATTATTTCCCAAGCAACCTTTACTGGACGGACTGGAACCGTGAAGCACCCAAAATCGAAACTTCCACTGTCAGCGGAGCCAACAGGAGGGTCCTGGTGAACAAGGACATCGGCTTGCCCAACGGCCTGACGTTCGACCCCTTCTCCAAGCTGCTCTGTTGGGCAGACGCAGGTAACTTCACCGAGGACGGCTCAGGCTACGACACACGAAGCCTCGAGGGAAAAAACCAGCTATTTATGTCTTTAGCCCATTGCTACCTGTGGGCTTCTCTGCCCCCTTCCACTGTCCTGCCCCACAGACTTGGTGTGACGGGGTCGGGGGGCTCACAGCCCGAGTTGTTTCTACATCCTTAGGCTGAGAAGCCGTTTCAAAGTTTAGTGAATAGAAAGATCAGGTTTGGTGGGGTTTTCGTGGCCTGGTAACTGTCTTGTGTTTGAAAAGGAACGAAACACCTGGAGTGCACATTCCCCGACGGCACGGGCCGGCGCGTCGTACAGAACAACCTCAACTACCCCTTCAGCATCATCAGTTACGCCAATCACTTCTACCACACGGACTGGAGACGGTAAGGAAAGAGAAGGTCAACCTGATGGAGTTCAACAAGGGCAAGGGCAGGGTCCTGCACCTGGGCAGGAACAACCCCAGGCACCAGTACAGGCTGGGGCTGACCTGCTGGAGAGCAGCTCTGTGGAGAGGGACTGGGAGTGCTGGGGGA